AAGCCGTAGTTTCGAGGAAACATCCCGTTGCTATTTCAATGGGAGCCCATACGTCTCAGCTCATTTCTTTATCACCAGCCCCAGTTTCACGAGGGTGCAGTTGTGGTTTACGGCGCTCGAGCAGGTTTCACTGGGTGCACTTTATGTACTACGGAGGGAAGATCTCCCCCAGCCTTCACCAGCACCACAGGATGGAATGGGAATCAGCTAGAGGGGAAGGTGGGGATTCCAGGTGTTTCGGCACCGCAGGCAGCTCGTGCCTTCTGGGATGGCTGGCGGTGACAGCATGCCCCAGGCGCAGCCTACATCCCCATGCACCCAGCCTGGAGGACACAGGGACAGCTGACCCTCCCAGACCCCTGTCCCCGCATCCCAGCAGGCAGCAGCCACCATCCCTGCAGATCCCCGCGGGCGCCGGCTCGCAGGACATACCTCCTCCAGCAGGCGCGGGTCCAGGCAGTCCCCGTCATCGTTGAACAGTGAATCCCAGCTCTCCTCTGTGCCTGGGCTGGCCTGGCTCAGGGTCCCAGCACTGGCCTGCTCTGCCTTTGGGGAGCCGCTGCGGATACCATCCTCCTCCTCAGCCTCCCGGCTGCACCAGTGCTGCTGCGGTGAGCCTGCGTTCTCGTCTGCCCCCGTTGGCTCCTCGGCCCAGGCTGCAGGCGAGAGTCCCTCTACAGCATGGCACAGCAGCTCCAGGGGCAGCGAGGGCTCCTGGCTCCCTGGGGGTGCCCCCTCCCAGGTGCCGCTCACCAGGTCCTCGCCAGCACCCAGCAAGTCACTCTCGGCCCCGGCGCTGTTGTCTGTGTCTGCAGAGGTGCTGCTCGCTCCCTCTGCAGCGGGCACTGGGATGCTCTCCCCATCAGGATGCTCAGGCCTGGAAGCGCTCTCCTTGCTGGGTGGGAGTTGGGATGGACTGCCCACATCCTGCCCCAGGGTATTCTCCTTGGGGAGCACTGGCACATCACTCACACCTCCCCTAAAACACTTGGTTTCACAGCCAGTTCGGGCTACCTCGAAGGTACTCTCGCCAGCAAGCTCAGCCATGCCTCCCTGCCTCTCCTCTTCCTCCTCCTCCACTGGCATCCCAGCAGCACAGCCCTTGCTCTGCCCTGCCAGGATAAACCCCCCATGCTCCCTCTCCTCTCCCTGGGCTTTTGGACCTGCAGCCTCCCACATCAGCGCGGGCACACTGCCCTGTTGCCCCCCCCCTGCCAGTGATGGGACACCCTCCCCCAGGCACTGGGAGAAGTCCTCGGCTGGCTTCAGGGCACCATCTCCCAAATGCTCTGACATATCACTTGGCCCTGTCTGACAGGCTGGTGTTGGGCTAGCGGGGTGGGCTAGGATAGCAGGGTGGCCCTCAGGCTCAGGGGTA